GACCTTCACAGTGGCATTCAGTATTTCAGCCTTCCAAGGACTGAGGCGAGGCCAAAGTCAAACAAAGAAACTTGAACAAATCCTGAGGCTGAGGCTGAATTTTGATGCATCTCAAATATGTGCATATTACTGTGTGCACATGTGTTTACCTACGCATGAAGTAAAGGAAGGCAAGATTCACAGATTAACACGGACATTATCTTGGTTTTCCAGGGCTGCTGTTACCACGTACCACCAACTGAGTGGCTTAAAAGAACAAATTTATTCTCTCACGGTTGTAGAGACCAAGATTTCCAAGTTGGAAATCAAGCTCCCAGCAAGGCCCTGCTTCCTCTGAAGACTCCTTCCTGTTCCGGCTTTTAGTGGTTGCAGCAATCCTTGGTAGTTGTTGGCTTGTAGATGCATTGTGTGACTCTCTGCCTCCGTCACCACGTGGTCTTCTTCCCGATGTGTCCTCTCTGGATCTTCAAATCTCTCTCTCCTTATAAGGTTACCAGTCATGGGATTTGGGGCTACCCTAATCCAGTATGACCTCACTTGAACTTGGTTACATCTGTAAAGACCCCTAAATAAGATCACATTCACAGGTACTAGGGATTAGAATATATATTTTGGGGGACACAATTTAACCCACGATAGATATGACTCATGATTTGTGGAGGAGAGGCACCTGGGGAGTGGGGAGGGAGGGAAGGGTCAATAAAGGTAAGCACAGAAAGAAGGATGGGAAAGAATGCAGTTAAAAATATCTCCATAAGTACACATTGCTCTGTGTATATGAAATTCAGTGCATGTGTATGAAGAAATTAGAATAAATAGCTAGCTCTATATTAATTGGTACAAATAACATCAAATAATCCTTCTATACAGCTTCCTATGTGCCAGGCACTGTTTTGAGCACTTTATATATATTAACTTCTTTCATCCTCATGTCTCGACCTGTGCTGTAGGTACTATTGTTGTCATACACATTTTACTGATGGTAAAACTGAGAAGTAGCTAGTAAAGTGGCCGAGCCCAGGATTCAAACCTAGGCTGTCTGGCTTCAGAATCTGAAGCGTGCTGTTCCAAGGGACAATAAGAATGGTGGTACTTTAGTCTCTGGAGTTGATGAGAAGAGTGGCCCCAGTGTCTAAGGGGCATGAGAATTATGGACATAGGGCAGCAGAGACAAGAATGGTAGTACAGGGTGAGCATCCCTAATCCAAAATGCTTGGGACCAGAAGTGTTTTAGGTTTCAGGGTTTGTTTTTGTTTTCAGGTTTTGGAATATTTGCAGATACATAATGAGATATCTTGGGGACGGAACCCAAGTCTGAACATGAAATTCATTCGTGTTTTATAAACACCTTATGCACATAGCCCAAAGGCAATTTTATACAATATTTTTATGATTTCATGCATGAAACAAAGTTTTAACTATGTTTTGACTGCAACCCACCATGTGAGGTTGGGTGTGGAATTTGTCACATGTGGCATCATGTTGGCACTCAAAAAGTTTTGGGTTTCAGAGCAGTTCAGATTCTGGATTTCTGGATTACGGATGCTCAACCTGTACTCATGTGCCAATGTCTGGTGGGAATGGTAGATCCTGAGTCCCGGGGACTTGTGGGAACTGCAGTAGCTGAGTCTTAGGTGCTGAGAGATTTGGAGCCCTGTATCTCAGAGAATGACAGAAACCATCCCCGTAACTTACTGACTGACAGGTGCAGGGACTGATGGGAATTATAGTATCTTATCCCAGAAGCTTAAGCAAGTCCCAGCCTAACCCAAACCATTTGTTATTCACCTATCCCTCCATTCATTCATTCAGTGAACATTTTCCTGAGCCCCTGCCTCTGAGCAACACCTACGTTGGGTGATATTGAGATCAGAGAGATGACCTAGACCATCAATGCCCTCAATGAATTCCCAAAGACAAATCCAGGCAAAGAAAATCACAACAAAATGAGATCAGGGCCAGGACAAGGGGCAGCATGGTGATGCAGTTACCGTCCCAACCTGTCTACAAGGCATCTGGGGTGAAATATGCAAGTGACAGTAATTCCAGATCCCAAGGTAAAGTGCAGAGTCTAAAAAAGGGTCCTTCTCAGTCATATGCAAAATCGTGTGCATGAAGTCTAAACGTGCCCAACGCCGGTCCCTCAAAGCAGCACATTTTCCCAGAGGCAGCCCACCCTCAAAGAAGGAACCAGGAAGGTCGGGATTCCAATCACAGGCTCTGTCACTCATTTCGTGAGCTTGGGCAACTCATTATATGGAAACTGTTTCTTCATCCTTACAACTGGGATAATAGCAGTTTCTAACAATAAGGTTGCTGTGTGATAAATGATATAATAATGTATAACAAATACGCAGTCCTAAGACTGGCTCCCAGTAGTCACTCAATAAAGGGTATGTGTTTTTGTTATTATTATCTCTATTACTAATAATTATCAATACATTTTAAAGGACCTAGAAATATTTATCAAATAAGCTTAAAAGCATCCAATGAAATCACTAAAAAAAACCAAACACACACACACAAAACCCCAAACCAGTAAATTTGAATATGTGTATTAGTATATATATATATACATATATATATATACCTCCCAATCTCCCAGTTGACTGAAGAAATTATAGAAATAAATGTATATAATGGAATACTATACAGCTGTGAAATGAATGAGGTACCTCTATAAGCATAGATATGGGATGATTTGGGGGTTTATAGTGTTAAAAAAAAAAGCAAGGTGCAGAATAGTATGATCTCATCTGGGGGCAAAAAAGAGGGGGTGGTATAATATATGTGCATAGACGTATAGATTTCCTCTGGACAGACACATTGATTAGTAAGCGCAAGCTGTCCCCTGAGAGGAGACATGGGTGGCCAGGGGACAGCGCGGGAAGGAGACCTGTTTTCCACTGTTGGAGCCCCAGGACCATAAACCCACCACTGCCTGAATATCTTCCCTAAATGTCCCCTGGCCCCTAATGGACACCAAGTTCTAAGCTACCCACAGCATCTTCTGTCTCCTGTTCCTCTTCTGCCTCCTGGTTCTCCATTGGGAAAAGCTCCTGTCCCCTCAATTCCTGGGCCAGATCCCAGGGAGCTGTAGCTTTCTCACCTCTTCCCTCCCCTCCACCCCCCACAGCCCAGTGGTCCCCATCCCAGCTCCTCACATGCCCTGTGCCACCGCCCACGGTCCTAGCTGCCCCCACAGGTCTTTCTCCCTCCAGTCCACCGGCAGCCCCAGAGGGGTCTGACATTCAGATCTGACCCTGTCCTCCCCCTTTGCTCACAACCTCCAGGGCTCCCTGTCACCCTCAGAAGGCTAAGTTTCCAGCCTGGCCTTCAACTTGCTGAGAACCTGGCCCTGCCCACTCACCGCAGCCTCATCTGCAGTGCTCCTGGGCTGCTGGCCTCAAGGCTCTGGGCTCGACTGCCTTGTGGTCCTCCCAGCGTGGCCGTGGCTCCCTGCCTTTGGGCCTTTGCTTCAGCTGTGCCCTCTGCCTGGAACACCCTCACTCTCGGCAATTCAGATCTGACTTCCCCCGTCCTCGGAGGTCATGCCAGGACCGCGGCTCCCTGGGGGCCTCTAGGACGCCTCCTGCAGCAAGGATTCTGTCGCCCTGGGCGCTCACAGCCGCGGGTCTGCCCCTCTGTCAGACCCCGTCCCGACCCCTCACTGGGTCTGCCTCTCCCATCAGACTGCCGCTGCATCCGCAAGGGCAGACACGGGCCGATTCACCTCTGAGGCCCCGGTGGGTGGGAGGGGTGTGGAGAGACCACGGCGCAGGGAGGGAGAGAGGCTGGGAGGACAGAAGGGAGAGAGAGAGAAGGGCAGACCCCGACGGGGGTGCGAGGAGAAAGAGGTGAGAGGGGAGGAGGAAGCCAAAGGAAGGAAGGTTGGAGACACAGACGCAGGGAGGGAGGGAGGAAAAACAAACAGAAAGAGAAAAGGGAAAGGATCGAATGAGAGACAGAAGAGCCACACACAGCAAGGAGGCTGGAGACGCAGAGGCAGGAAAGAGAAAGACAAGCAGACAGAGAGACGGAAGGGAGGACAGAAAGACAGAAGGAGCAAACCCACCCGAGGGGGACTCTGGCGGAGAGAAAAAGGCAACAGGGGGCGGTGGAGGAGAAAGCGAGCGCGCACCGAGCCGCAGGGAGGGAAGGAGAGGGAGGAGGCAGAGCGAGGGAAAGGGCGGAGAGGCGGAGGGACCGAGGGAAGCCGGGGAGAGACGCGGGCACTGGCCGCGGGAGGAGGGCGGGAGAAGTGGCCGCCCCGGCCGCCTCCCTGGCCTCCCTTTTGTCCCTTCCCTCCGCGCTGCGTCACGCTCCCCTGGCCCGGCCTCCCCTCTCCGCGCCCTCCCCGCCGCCCCGCTGCTCCTCCCCGGGGCTGGATGGAATTTTTTCCCCTGGACCCGGGCCAGCTCCCGGGCAGGGGGGGAAGCCAGGCCGGACTGGGCTGGGCGGTGGGGAGGGGCCGGGGCGGGGGCCCCTGGGGAGGGGGCTGGTCTGCCGGCCGCCCGCCCGCGGGGTCCGGGGAGGGGAGCCCGGGACCTCAGAGCCGGGAGGCGGCGCCGGCCGCAGGGAGCCGGGGAGAAGGGAAGGAGGATGGCGGGGCGGCGGGAGGAAGGGGAGAGGCCGCCGGGCGGCGGAGGCGGGCAGAGGATGGAGAGGGCTCGGCGGCGGCGGGGCTCGGCCGCGGGCCGAGGGCCGGCCGGGAGTCCCCTTCCCTCCGACGCGGGAGCCGGGGAGCCGTGAGTCTGCGGAAAGGGAGGGGGATGGGGCCTGGGGCCGGGACTCCAGGGTCCCCGAGGGAGGAGGAGACTCGGGGCCCGGATTTCTGGGTTGTCGGAGGAGGAAGAGGGGGCTGGGAGCCCAGGCTCCTGAATCCTTGAAGGAGGGGGCTGGGGACCAGGATCCCGAGGTCCATTCGCGGAGGAGGCTGGGAACACCTCCTGGATTCTAGAGGGAGCACAGATTGGGGCTGGGGCAGGTGGGACTGGAGGGTGGAGGAGGCCAGGGGCGAGATGCTCCGGCTCTCCGGGGAGGTGGAGGAAGACGGTGCGGCTTCGGAGGTGCCTCGGGCGTGGGAAGGGTTAACGGCTGGCTGGGGGGAGGGGGAGGGGCAGGGATGGGGCTGCGGGGCTTTGAGGGGTCAAGGGTGAGCCGTGCCAGTGGGAGGGGGCTGAGGAGGAGGGGGAGGTTGTCTGGGCTGCCAGACAGGCCAGGGTCAGCGGCGGGGGCAGGGGATGTCTGGCGGAGGAGAGGCCCGGTATCCAGGCTCCCTTGGCGACCCGGGATTCCAGGCCCCAGCCCTCTCCTCCCTCTGACCTGGGAGTCTGCTGCACCCCGAATTCCCAAATCCGAACCCCTGGCCCCCTTTTCCCCAGGATCCAGGAGTCTGGGCCCCCAGCCTCTTCTCTCAGACCAGGTAGTCCACATTCGAGCCCCCACCCCTTTCAAGGCCTCAGAGTTCAAAACCCCGGGCTCACCTCCCCAGGAGCACGAGCACCAACCCCTCCTCCGCTAGAACCCAAGAGCTCAGGCCCCCCCTCCCTTCAAAGCCTGGAGTTCAGGGGACCCCCAGAACCCAGGAGTCCCCACCTTCTCTTTAGCCCCAGCTGGAGTCCAGCCCTCCAGGGGTTAAGGGGGCGGGGCCAGCTGGTTGCCATGGTGCCAGACTGTTTGGGTCTGCTCTCTGACCCTTGGGGGCTCCCCAGGGTCCGCAGAGAGGGGGAGGGGGACCTAGGCCTGGGGGAAGTCCAGCGCCTACCCCATCCCCGAAGCCAGCCCAGGGAGATCGCGTTTCCACCAACGCCTCGTCCAGTGACCTTGAACAAGTCCTGACCCTTCTCTCTCCGCCTCAGTTTCTCCTAGGAGAAATTGGTTGGGGGTTGGGGAGATGCTCAGGTCCCGGGAATCTTAAGATTCTCAGCTTCCCCTCTCCCCTCACCCCCCTCCTCAGGCCCCAGGCAGCCCCAGGGCATGCTGGGAACCCGGGCCTGGGCTCCGGGCCAGGTTGGGGGGGCGGCCTCCTCCCTTCCCCTTCCTCCCCACCTTGGCCTGACTCTCGCCCCCGCCTGAGGGTCCGGGAGGTTGGAAAGGAGGATGGGGGAAGAGAGCTGGGACCGCAGACAGGTCTCCGGGCCCTGCCCCCTTCCCTTCTCCGCCCCTTCCCGCCTCTCCTCCCCCTCCTCAGCAGGTCGCTACCCCAGCCCGGGCCCCTTCTCCAGCCACCCCCACCCCACCCCCAGCTCCAGACCTGGCTCCGAGCAGCGAGGGGGAGGGAGAGAAGGAAGGAGGGAGAGAGAGAGAGAGAGAAGGGGAGGGAGGGAAGAGAGACTTGGGAGGGAGGGAAGGAGAGCGAGGGAGAGAAAGGGAGAGACGGAGGCAGCGGAGGAGAAGGAGCGGAGCTGGAGATGGAGGGAGGGAGGCGGGAGAGGAAGTGAGGCGAGACGTCCAAAAACAGGGAGAGGAGAGGGTGAAAGAGAAGAGGGAGAGCGAGACCGAGAGAGGTCGGAGAGAATGAGAGAGACAAAGGGGAGAGGAAGAGCAGGGAGCGGAAGGCCGGCGGCCGAGAGAACGAGAGAGGAGGGGGAGGGAGGAGAGCGGGCGCGGGAGAGGAGAGGCGGGTGGGGGCAGAGGGCCGGGGCCCGGGCCGGGAGAGACACGGGTGCTGGAGGGAGGAGGCTGGGTGGGACACAGGTAAGACGGAGACTGAGGAAAGAGAGGGCAACGGGAACGGGCAGTGAGGACGCAGGAAGAGTAGACGAGCCGGGACAGTGAGAGCCAGAGAGGGAAGTGGACGCGAGCCCCAGGGTGGGGAGGGTGGGTGGCGGCCCTCGGCCCCTCCCACTTACAGGCTGGCTTTGGCAAGTCTCCTCCCCTCTCTGAGGCTGGGCCGCCTCACCTGCCTCACCTGCCTCACCTGCAAAATGGGGATGCAGAGAGTACCTCGCTGCTCTGGGTACCAGGAGGTGTCAGAGAGGAGACTGCGGTGTCAGTGCCCAGAGGTTATAGCTGTCATCGTTATAAATGACAAGAGGTCAAAAGAAGGGAGGAGAGAGGAGAAAAATGCCCAGAAAGGCTTTGAAGGTTTCATGCCCCCTGCCCCTCCCCAGCCCTGGGCCTGGAGTCTCTGCAGCCTGACAGGAAGGTAGGTAGGCAGCAGGGTGCCCAGCGGGCTGGGATTTCAAGACAGCTGAGGTTCGCTCTGGCCTGTACCCAGGAAGTCAGGGCTCCTTTCAGGCTGTGCCTGAGGGTCTGGAAAGCTGGAAAGGAGGAAAGTGACAGGCTTGCTTGGCCGGACTCCCAGGTCTGAGGGAGGAGGGCTGGGGCTGGACCCCTGGGTCTGAGGGAGGAGGGCTGGGCTGGACCCCTGGGTCTGAGGGAGGAGGCCTGGTGGACCCTGTGCGTCTGAGAGGAGGGCTCTAAGGACCTGGTTGGCGCTGGGCGTGCGACCCTGGGTCTGAGGGAGGACGGGCTGGCTGGACCCTGGGTCTGAAGGGAGGAGGCGGGCTGGACCCTGGGCCTGAGGGAGGCAGGCTGGGGCCTTGCACCCCTGGGTCTGAGGGCAGGAGGCTGGCCAGACCTGGGGTCTGAGGGGAGAGGGGCTGGCGGCTGCACCCCTGGGTCTGAGGAGCGAGGGCTGGGGGGCTGGACCCTGGGCCTTGAAGGAGGAGGTGCCTGGGCGCAGGCACCCTGGGTCTGAGGGAGGAGGGCTTGGCTGCACCCCTGGGTCTGAGGGAGGAGGGCGGGTGGGCCGGACCCCCTGGAGTCTCGAGGGGAGGGGCGTGGCGGCTTGCACCCCCTGGGTCTGAGGGAGGAGGGCTGGGCTGGACCCCTGGGCCTGAGGGAGGAGGGGCTGGGGCTGGACCCCTGGGCTCCTTAGGGAGGAGGGGGCCGGGGGCCCGGACTCCTGGGTCCTGGCACCCACCCGTAGAACCGACCTTGCGGGGCCTTCGCCGCACACAAGCTCGTGTCTGTGGGTCCGTGTCGGGGGCTCATCATCGCGGCTGGGGCCTCCCCGGCCCTCCCCGCCCTCCCCGGCCCTCCTGGCCCTGTCTGTCTATCTGTCTGCTCTGTCCACCGGCCGCGCCCCCCGGGCTGAGGTAGGAGGTTGTATAGTTGAGGAGGACACCCAAGGAGATCACTATACGGCCTCCTAGCTTTCCCCAGGCTGCGCCCTGCACGGGACGGGCCGGCGGGACCCCCAGCCCTGCGGCTGCCCTGGGACCCTGGGAGGAACTGAGCGGCCTTTCCTGTCCAGCATTCCCTCCCCACTTTCCTTGAAGAGCTTCTCTTCCATCAAGAAATGTCTTTTGCTTTCTGTGTTGCTCCATCTCTGCTGTGTCTCTCTGTGGCTTCTGCATCTCTCTGTACACTGGTCTCTGGGACGCTGTCTCCATCTCTGACCCTCCCCGTAGCTCTCCTTGTCTCTGTCTCTTTGGTCTTTCTGAGCCCCACCGCAAAGCCCACGGCAGGGCCTGTTGGGGCCGCCATGTGCCATATTGCCGGCCTCTGGGTCCCTGAGACCCTTTAACCTGTGAGGACGTCCAGGGTCACAGGTGAGGTTCTTGGGAGCCCGGCGTCTGGCCCGTCCACCAACCTGGGGATGGCTGTCCCGACCCCTGACCCCTGGTCCCTCACACCCTTCCTCCAGAGCCTGACAGTTGACCACCAACGGAAACTCAACCTCTGAGCCCAGGCCACTGGCCCCTCCCCCTCCCAGGTGACCTCACAAAGGTCACCAGCTTCACTCTGGGCCTGAGACTCTCTGCGATGGCCAGGCTGGCCCCGGCCAGAGCAGTCCCATCTGCCCTGCTGGCCCTTGTGGTCCTCAGGGCGCCCGCGGGGGCCTGTCTCCTCTGCTTCACCACCTTCGCCGAGCGCCTCCGCATCTGCCAGATGTTCGCCGGGGTGGACAGCCCTGAGCTCCGGAAGTGCGAGGAGGTCTTCACGGCCGCCTTCCGGGGCCTCTCGGACATGGAGATCAGTGAGGAGGCCTCGCGGACTCCACTGGGGTCCTGGGAGGCAATTGAGGGAGGAACAGGCGCGGCCAGGAGGCATGAGTGGGGACAAGGGAGAAGCAGAGGCCGAGGAGAAAGGGTCCAGGACACTGAGAGGAGACTGCAGACGGGAGGGGCAGAGGCGAGAGGGGGAGGGTGGAGTTGGGGCAGAGGCAGAGGGAAGGAAGTTCCTTCAGGGACTTGCGGGAGCTGGCTCCTGCAGCCTCGCCCTTCCCACCCCAGACTACGAGGAGAGAAGCCACCTGCATGACGCCTTCACCCAGATGACCCTCTCCCTGCAGGAGATGGCGGCCGCCCAGGGTGAGTGGTGGGGGCGGGGCCCTGGACATGCGGCCGGGAGGGCGGTGCTGGGAAGCCCAGTGAGCCGGTCACTTGGGGCAGGAGGGCGACCCCTATCAGCAGCCCTCGGCGAGGACGCCTTGCGTCTGTTTCTTACAGTTAAAGCAGTCCCCACTTTTGAGGTGTGAGGCTGTGAGGGGCAGGCAAACACTGGGGACGGGGGAGTAGATCATTCAGGTGACAGCTGTGAAGAAAGACAGGGGTGTGACTGTCCTGGGGGGACAGGCACACGCGACAGCCTTCAGGTGGGTAAGACGCACGTGTGTGGCTGCGCAGAGGGACCTCAGGGCTGGGGGACACGCATGGCCTATGGGCTGGGTAGCAGTGGTCACACCAGGTTCCCAAGGCCGTGACCCCCAACATGCCAGGAGCTGGAGTTGGGAGGGTCCAGAGGCTGGGGGAGGCCACAGAGCCCTATTTTTTAGAATAAACTGGCCAAGCTTTTTAGCAAAGGTCGCGGAGGAGGGGGATGTTCCCATCCATCCAGGGGCGTCCCAGGGCCAGCATGGAGAGACTTCAGCTGTGGGTCCCCCGTGGGGATCCCGAGGAGCCTGGGAGCTGGACAGGGTAGGTGCAGGATTTCAGGAAATGCTCTTCCTCCCCACGTGGGCTGTCTCCTCACAGGTGGTTTTGAGAAGACCAGGAAGAAGTCCAGGTGTGGGAGTGGCTGACCTGTCTGGGGCCGTGTGTGGAGGGACTTGGAGGGGAGAGAAGGGGCTGGGGTGAGGGTCCAGGCCAGAGGGGAGGAGGCCTGAGTGGGGGTCGGGGTTGCGAAGGTGGAACGGAAGGGACAGGCTGAGAGTGGGGGGCTGGAGGAACGAGCCTGGGTCTGCTAGGCTGTCGGCGAGGGGAGGAGGGAGGGTATGAGGACAGTGCGCCAGGCCCAGCTTCGTGCCTGTTGGGTCGTGGGTCATGCTGAGATGAGGAGCCTGGGAGAAAGAGCCAGAGTGGGGGCTGATTATGAGCTAGATTAGGATAGTCACTTTGAGGGGTCCTGGGGACATCCAGGAGGCAGCGTTCAGCTGAAAAGTCAGGGACACTCAAGACTGTGTCCTGAGGGCACTGGGGAGCCATGGGAGGGCTGTGAGCAGGGGAGGGGCAGAGTCAGCTCTGGGTGTAGAAGGAGCCCTCTGGGGCTTGTGGAGAACAGACCAGAGGGAGAGTCTGGAGGCCTGGAGAAGCTGGTACTGTACATTCAACAGATATTTCTGGAATGTGCCAAGAACAACACTGGGGACACAGGTTTGACCAAAGCTGCAAACTGCCTGCCCTCAGGTTGCTTATATTGGGGATGGGGGGGGGGGAGAGACAGACAATAACCGTAACCACCGAAATACTTTAGTATGTCAGTTGGTGATCTGTGCTGTGGAGGAAAACAGAGAAGGGGAAGGGACTAGGGGGATAATTTTAAATAGGTCGGTCAGAGGAGGTGAAAATGAGCAAAGGTGAAAATGACCAGTTGAGCAAAGACTTGATCTAAGTGACAGTGAGGACCATGCAGATAATCTCAAGAAAGAGAGTTTCAGGCCAAGGCAAGAGCCAGTGCAAAGTCCCTGAGGCCAGTGGGGCTGGAGTAGAGATGGAATCAGAGAGGTAGCAAGGGCCACATCCTATAGGTCCTTGTAGACCAGTGGTTTTCAAGCCCCAGTGTAATCCAGAGTCTCCTGGGAGCCTGTTGAAATGCAGTTATTGGGCCCTGCCCTCCGTATCTGACCAGTAGGTCTGAGGTAGGGCCAGGAAATCGACATTCTGTCAAGTCCCAGGTGATGACATGATGCTGATCTGGGAACACACTGAGGGTCGCTGTTGTGGGGCCTTGGAACAACTTTGTCTTTTGCTGTTGAAATGGGGAAGCTTTGAGAAGATTTTACACAGAGACAGGATCTGACTTGGGATTTAACAAGATCCCTCAGGCAGCCACGTGGGGCCAGGATAGAGGCACGGAGACCAGCGAGAAGCCAGTCGATGGTGGCTTGGACCCATCGCAGTGGTCCATGTGAGCTGAGGTGAGGTCTGAGCGGGACATGACGATTTGACTGTGTGGCACACCTGCCCTGTGCTTGCAAGAGGCTGCATCTGCCAGACACTGCTATGCATGTTAATTATCCTCCTAAAAGACATCCTCATTCCAGCCCTGCGAGGCAGAGTTTTATAACCCTGCTTTCCAGATGGGGAAGTTGGGGCTCAGCTGGACAAGGAAGACAGACCCAGGAGATATTTGGAGACAGACTGGACCAGATGTACGTGGGTGAGGGGGGTGGGAAGAATTGAGGACGACTTTCACATCTTTCCCAGACAGAAGCCTGGAGAGATGTTGGAGCTGACCTAGGGCTGCCTCTCGGTGGTTGCAGGTGATCTCTGTGTGTATATAAATCATGGAGTGGACGGTGTGGTATAGAGAGGAGGGTAGTACACCACGTGCAAGGATTAGGTGTGGAGCCTCTGGGTTCGAACGTAGCAATGTGACCTGGGACCACTTCCCTAATCTCTCCATGCCTCAGTTTCCCCATCTCAAGTTTGCAGATGGTTAGCTCATCATGTGCCAGGCACCATTCTAAGCACTTACAGACTGTATCTTATGCAGTCATTAAATGGTGCCATGAAATAGTTTGGGATGAGGATGTTCTTATGGTGTATGACATTTCATCCTCCCACCCTTCCTATGAGGCAGACACAGCTATCATCCCTGTTTTATGAATGAAGAAACTGAGGATCGGGAAAGTTAAGTCACTTGGCTAGGGTCACATAGGGAGGAGGGCTTGCAATTGAGACCTCGGATTTGAGACAGGTGTGCGTGTTCAAGATGGAAGGGCCAGGACTCGAGCCCAGCTGATCTGAACCAGAGTCAGAGATCCTAAGGGTATGCAGCTCTTTGGGGAGACTTTAAACTGCAGTCCCCATTCCTCAGGCCACAGGCTGGTGCCAGTCAGTGGCCTGCTAGGAACCGGGATGCACAGCAGGAGGTGAGTGGTGGGCGAAGCTTCATCTGTATTTACAGCCACTCCTCACCACATAAGCTCCTCCTCCTGTCAGGTCAGCAGGCATTCGATTCTCATAGGAGCTGCAAACCCTGCTGTAAACTGTGTATGCCAGGGGTCTGGGTTGCTGGCTTCTCATGAGAATCTAATACCTGATGACCAGAGGTGGAGCTGAGGCGGTAATGCTAGCGCTGGGGAGCAGCTGCAAATACAGATTATCCTTAGCAGAGAAGCTTGACTGCACAATAAATGTAATGTGCTTGAATCATCCTGAAAGAACCCCGACCCCTTGGAAAACTGTCTTCCATGAAACCAGTCCCTGGTGCCAAAAAGGTTAGGGACCGCTGCTTGGCAACATCCACTCACTCCCCTGTGGTCTACTTGATATAACCCGCACCCCTGTCCTGATTGGAACATTACTAGATATATAAACCCACACTGATGCCATGGCTCGCTTGTGACAAAGTACCATAGTAGCTTAAACAACAGAAATTTAATTTTTCGCAACTCTGGAGGCTAGGAGTTCAAGATCAAGGTCTCGTTGTCAGCAAGGCTGGTTTCTTTACAGGCCTGGCTCACGCTCATCCTCCCTGTGAGTCGTCTGGTTTGGCCCATGGGCATTCCACGGGTGACTCCTCCAGCATCCTGGCCGCTCGCTTGAGCACCCTGCTCTGACCACGTCCTCCTGACCATCCCGCCATCTCACGACCCCACTCCTGCTCTGTGGTCAAGAGGAGGCCTCTAAGTCTTTGACCCCTCATTTTGAACCCACTTCTTGGCTTTAGTGTTCCTTCTTTCCAAGCATATGCCCAGTGATGATCGTTTCAGCCACTCTCTTACCAATATCCTCAGTTTCCTCCCTTTTTGTATGGCTTTAAATCACAGAGGAACCCTTCCCCACTCCCTGCAATCACTTAAGCAAATGAGAAGTTTATTTCTTCCATGTAAAATACATCTTAAGATAGGCTAGTATGGCAGCTCCATTTTCTTGGGGACTCAAGCTCCTTCCAGCTTTCTGGTCTACCACCCTAGGGTAGAGCCCTTGTCCTAATGGACCTGTATGGCTGCTAGAGCTCCAGCCATCAAAACCAAGTTTCAGGCAGCAGGATGGAGAGGGGGAAGGAATCGATAAGATGGCACCACCTCCCCTTTAAGGCTACTTCCTGTAACTCACATATGACACTTCCACTTCCATCTTAGTGGCCATAATGGGTCACATGACCACAGCTAACTGCAAGGAAGGCTGAGCAATGAAGTCTTTTAGCTGGGGAGGCACATTCCCAGATGAAATGCAGTGTTCTGTTACTGAAGAGAAAATATAAACATTTGGAGGCAACTGACAATCCCTAACACAGGGATTATTTTGTAACAAAGTACCATAGTGGCTTAAACAACAGAAATTCATTTTTTTCACAGTTCTGGAGGCTATAAGTTCAAGATCAAGGTTTTATTATCAGCAAGGCTGGTTTCTTTCCAGGCCCGTCTCCTTGGCTTGTAGGTGTTGTCTTCTCCCTGTGCCTTTTCAAACGTCCCTCTGTGTATGTCTGTGTCCTAATTTCCTTTTCTTCCAAGGACACCAGTCACACTGGATTATGGTCCACTCTAATGACGTCATTTTAACTTAATCACCTCTTTAAGAACCCTACCTCCAAGTAAATTCTAAGTAACTTTCTAAGATACTGAAGGTTAGGTATCCAACATAGGAATCTGGGAGGGTGGGACACAATTTAGCCCATAACACCCTGCCACATTTCTGATTCCCAAAACCACCACGAAATCAATCAGGCCATCCACTTTCTCTTTTTTCACTGGAAAAGGCCAGAAAACCTTACAGTTTGGAGGCCATGACAGTAGTCACAATGCAAACACAAAGACAGAGAACATCAAAGAGTGAAAGAGGAGTAGAAACGAGTGGAGGCCGGGACTGTGAAGCAGCCGCGGCCGGTGAATGCCCTGTGTAAGGGGGTGGCTGCTACTAAGCTCCACCTAATTGCTGCCTGATGGAAATTCAATCTCTGTGTTGCAGCCCTTCCAGTTTTGTTTTTTTTATTAAAGGGATGCCAAACATTTTATGTGACTTTCTCAAATTTTGTATGTTGGCAACTGGTTCTTTAAAAAAACAAAACAAACAAACATACATACATGCATTTTCCAGGCCAAATTTAACACCTCCAGAGGATGGATTTAGGCCACAGGCCACCATTGTGGTCTCCATTTCCAGTTGAATCTTGGAATTCATTCTACACATATTGAGTACTTTCTAAGTCTTGTGCCCCTCTTCTGGATCCTAAGGACACAGCACTAAAGAAGGGACATGTTTATTTGCTTAACAGATGAAAGTATATGGTCACCACATATATGAATATATATAATTACAATGTGGTGAGAGCTATGAATGATGTGAATGGGACATTGTGATTAGGTTAGAGTTGTGGTGATGGAAAGCCATTAAGGAGGCGACATTTGAGGTGTAAGACAGGAGGATGATTAGGAATAGGAAGAAAGATGTGCTAGAAACAGAAGCCAGCATGTGCAAAGGCCCTGAGGTGCCAGGGAATGTGGTCCTTTTCATATTAAGGGAAACAAAAGGTGAACAGTAAGGATGAAACAGAGGGAGGAGAAGTACACCTGATCACATAGGACCTAATACGCCTTAGCGAGGAATTTCACTTTTGTTCTACCTAATTCCCCCAACAAGATAAAGGCAGATGATGCAGAAGAGGGTTTCCATCCTGGAGAGACTCAGGAGGCAGAAGAGACTTGGGGACTTCTCAGTCTTCACAGTAGACAGAGTGGGAGGAGATGAAGAGAACAGAGTACGTGGCAATAGGAGAGACACAGGTGTGGAGAGGGGCCGGGGAAGGGGCACAGACACCATGACAGCACGTCCTGTGGAGCTAGGCCAGGCCTAGGGGAAGGGCCTTTACTACAAAGGTGCCCCTCCACCCTCCAGGGTCCTTTGAGGTTGCCTTCCCTGATGCCGCAGAGAAAATTAGGAAGGTCATTATGCAGCTTAAGGAAGGTAAAATAGACTCCGTGGCTCTTCCTCGTCCCTGCCATCAGATACACGCACAGTTAGGAAACCCTCACTCCTTAGATCCCCATCCGCTCCCTAATTTAGTCCAATCTCCAGGCCCAGTCCGTGAGCTGCAGCCCCAGGTGGGTGACTCTTCCCTGCCTGGACCACTCTGGATCCGGCCCTGCCCCTCCCCCCCCCAAGGTTTCCTCTCCAGCTAGGACCCTGCTTGGGATCTTCCGGACCCAGACTAGACCAGGCGTCTTTCTGGCTCTCCGTGTTGGCCCTGGGCAGTCTGAAATGTTCCGCTTCCAACTGGGTTCCCTGAGAGGGCTACTTCTATCCTGGTCGCATCTCTTCTCCAACCGGGCTTCCTCCTGGGTGGATTACACCTGGACGGCCCCTCCCGCCTCAGGGCCTGCTGCAGACCTGTGTGTCTCCCCCACGGCCCGCTTAGATGGCTCGCCCGCAGGCCTGTGACTGACCTCTTGGTGGGACGCCACAGGCCTGCCGTCCCCCGATGCAGCGAGGCAAGCCTTGCGGCGGTCTCTGGAGGGGGGCGTCCGGCCAGGCCCAGCACCATCCTTTCGGGAGCTTGAGGTAGGGTCCCTCCCGCGACTTCCAGGGTAGTAACGCTTCCTCTCTCTCCACAGCTCAGGCCTGCATCCCTCCCTGCGGTAAGGACTTAATCCAAAGCTCAGAATTGCGGTGGAAGGGAGGCAGTGGGGGCCAAACCTTCAAGTGGGAGAGCGTGGGTGGGCTTCGGGTATGAAAGAGGCCACGAGCCCTGGAGAACCCCCGCGGCAGGTGGGTCTGGGAGCCTAACCTAAGCAGACCAGTGGGAACCCTAGAGAGGAAGAGTAGCGAGAGTTAGCCGCGGGAGCGGGGAAGGCGGGATAAGGTGCCACCAGGTATGGAACCCAGGGAGGCTCAAGGTAGCCAAAGGGCCCGGGGCTGGGGGAGGCAGGTGGAGCCCAGACCCCGAGCTCCCGCCCGACAGGACTCCAGGAGGTCTCCAGGCGTTTCCGCTGCCGCGGGTGCTACTCTTCGGTCTGCGACCTCCCGCTGGACTGCCCAGGTGAGGGGCGGGGCCTCGGAGTCGGGCGGTCCGGCCGACCCGAGAGGCGAGGAAGGGGCGCGGCCTGGGGGCCCGGCCGGGCGTGGGAGGCCGAGGGAGAGTGACCCAGCTCGGTCTGCAGTTCAGGATGTGACGGTGGCTCGGGGTGACCAGGCTATGTTCTCTTGCGTCGTGAACTTCCAGCTGCCAGAGAAGGAGATCACCTATTCCTGGAAGTTCGCAGGAGGAGGTGTGAGTCGGAGCGGGGCTGGCGTGAGCTGCTCAGTGGGGCGGGTCGTGCGTAGCCAGACGGGGGTGAGGATGCAGGGGTGGGCGTGCGGCCTAGACACGGCAAGGACAGGGTCCCGGGATTCAGGGGCGAGGTCGGGGAGCAGAATGCAGGACCGGACTGGGTTTCCGGGCGAGGGTGAGGGGTGCGCGTAGGCAGGCAGAGCGAGGAGAGGGATCGGGCCGGCCCGGGGCTAGGAGGCGGCTGTGCTGGGAGCATCGGCGAGCCAGGCTGGGTGGGCCGGCCCGGGAGGCGCGGCCGGCGGGGCGTCAGCTGCCGTCGGGTCCGCGGGAGCCGGGAGCCCCCGGGCCGGGCTCGCTCCCGGCCGCCTCAGCCCGAGCGTCCCGCAGCTCCGGACTCAGGACGTGTCCTACTTCCGGGAGATGCCGCGGGCCCGCGGATACCTGGCGCGCATCCGGCCGGCGCAGCCCCGCCACCGCGGCACCTTCTCCTGCGCGATCCTGCACGACCAGCGCCCCCTGGCGCGCCTCTACTTCTTCCTCAACGGTGCGGGCGGGCGTGCGCGCGGGCGCGGCTCCGGGGCCCCGCTCGTGCCCGGCTGACGTGCGCGCCCCCGCAGTGACGGGCCCGCCCCCGCGCGGGGAGACCGAGCTCCAGCTCCAGTTCCGGGAGGTGCTGCGCTGGGCCGGGCGCGATGAGGACGCGGGCGCGGGCGAGGCCTGGAGGCCGAGCTGGGGCGAGCTGCTGGCCAGCCCCGAGGCTCTGACGCCCGGCAACCTGCTCCTGCTCGCGGCTGTGGCGGCTCTCGCGTCGGCGTCTGCGACCCTGTGGGCCTGGTGAGTCCCGCCGTCCCGCTGCGGACCGGGTGTCTGCTCCCGCCTCCCTCCTCCTCACAGCCTGGGGTCCGGGCCGTCCTCCTTTACCTCAGACCCGGGGTCCGCCCCGCCCTCCTCCCTCAGACCCGGGGTCCCCCCAGC